TCTACAATGTGTGTGCCAACATTAATAATGATTGTTCATGAGGTCTACACATCTTATGATTACCTCTAATTATTGGAAAGTTTACAGTTTTCTTGACTATCTCCAACAATCTAAAACAAAGTGACAAAGATATGAAACCCCCTAAATTTTGCATTAGAGATTGCAACATCATCATAGATGATTCTGGTTACCTATTAGATCCCCAAATTCCATACCGTTAAAATGCTTAATGTACATGTGGAAAGACCATTTTGTCGAAGTCTTTAAATAGACACTAATGGTCACTTTCACTAATCATTCTGATATAGTATTTTACAAGGCTTCACATGAATGTGTATAGCTTGACAGAATGATATATCACATACTGAAATTATATGGTGTTGATTCTATTGATCAATGGTCATTATCTTTAAAGGTAATGCAGCTTGTATTGTGTAGATGGAGATAAATTATACTTAATACAATATTTTGCACTAAGATGGTTCTATTCCATAGGTAATATGGGCATATAAACATTTGTAAACTAAGTTCGTGATAATCTTGCAAGTTACTCCACATTTCGTATGTGTTGAGGGCATTGGTATGAATTTATTTCGAGGTTTGCTAGTATCAGGAGGAGGGTCTCTCTGATTAATAACTTGTTGCAAACATCATATTGCACTATTTTCTTTGTATGAGTTTTCTCTTGGGGTTTCTCATATAAAGTTTTTAATGAGCCAATATCAACACAAGGTTGTCATATCATCCATTTTTCCCCACAGGGGTTTTTGGTGGATGATATTGGGACATAAGATACGTTGTACTCTTTTCTTTGTGTGAGTTTTCTATTTATGATTTCTCATATAAAGTTTTTGATGAGGCAATGTCAGCATAAAGTTACATGCTTATCTAGTTTTCCCCACCGGTGTTTTTGGAAGATGATATTTGAAGCATATTGATCCTATGGTCAAGGTGTTTTTACACTAAGGGGGTGTTTGGTTCTTTAGTCGTTCCTAAATTTCATGTCACATCGAATGTTTAGATACTAATAAGGAGCATTAAATATAAATTAATTACAAAACCAATTACATGGATGGAGGCTAATTTGCGAGATGATTTTTTAAGTCTAAATAATCTGTCATTAGCGCATATTTACTGTAGCACCAAGTTGTCAAATCATGGACTAATTAGCCTTAAAAGATTCGTCTCACAAATTAGTCGCGGGTTGTGCAATTAGTTTCGTAATTAGTCTATATTTAATACTCCATGCATGTGTCCAAATATTCGATGTGACAGAAATTTTAGAAGTGCCTAAAGAACCAAACAGGGCCTAAGGCTTTGGGTTTATCGCAAAGGGTCTAATAACATTGGTGATTGTATATCATGATGTTTCTTCTTATTTTTCCACTAGGTTTTAAGGAGTTTTGCCTGATATACCGGTATTACTTTGGTTTTCCCCACAGGGTTTTCCAAAGATTCATAATGATGCATAATATATGAACAATAAAGACTACAAGGAGCTAATTGATCAAGGGAAAGTGTCGAGAATTATTATTTAGCACTCAATTATGGATTATTTCAAGGAGTGTCTTTTCACCATTCTCTCTCTTTCACACTTATAATCGCCTATATGGACTATATATATATATATTATTGTTTATTAGGAATACAATGAAAAATCATTTGCACTCGATCTATCTCGTTCTCACTTTCTAACATCCTTGACGATGAGACGCCCGTCTTTGCCTCACCCTCACCAATTCGTCATCAATGCGGTTACCTTCTTTTTTTAAGCAGGAAAGGGTAGCAAAAAAGAAAAAAAGGAAATTAATGGGCGTGAGGAGTAAATGCTCCTCCTCTTTTGCCGCGCTACATTACCACTGTCCGATGAAGAAGTACTGCTGGCTGGTTTGTGTGAGAGAAAAATACTATTCCGGCTAGAAATTTACGATCATTTACGATAAGCCACAACCAAACGAACAGCCTGGATGCCCCCGGTGCCCGAAGCAAGCAGGGCATAGACCTGTGTGCCTGTGTCTGTCCTCATGCAGAAATTAGACCTCGTCACACGTAAAAAGGAAATATACTCCTACTCCTACCAGTAGTATACGTATGGTAACTACGTACGTACTCTTGATTTGTCTACTCCTATCAGGTTACTACAAAGGCCTGTTCGTCGGGGAGGAATTTAAATAAATCTAGATGAATCTGAAGGAATTCACGAGATAGTAAACAGTAAATTTCAGTCTCAAACAGTGAAATCCGGCTGAATTCTTTACCAGCCGAACGGCAGCGCCGCTGAATTTTTTTTGCCACATTTCCACTGCGGCCTGCGAAGCAGATAGACTAGACTGCCTCGATAGAGGACTAGAGTAGGCAGACACTGGTCTGAGCTTAGGTTGGTTAATTTGCCAGAGTATAGGTGAAGGCAAGCAGAGAGGGCAGCAATCAGAGGCAGAATGATTTTTACCATGATTCCATTCATTTTATTTCTATTTTTATTTGGCAACGATTCTTCATTCATTCGATGGTTGCTGGGTGTATCGATGCAATGCGAGTGACTGTGGGCTGTTTGGTAGAGCTCTGTCCGATTCTGATTTTTTATAAAAATTGATTATTTGAGAGAAGTGATTCGGTGGCTGAAAGCGGTTTTCTTTGATTCTTTAGTATAAACTCTTAAAATCGTGATGGAGAATCACTTCACATAATTAAGAGAAGCTACTTTTTCAGCTCCTAGCCTTTAGTTCATTTCAGAGAATCACTTCATAGAATCAGTAGAGAATCACTTCTCTCTAAAAAACTGTTTGACAGAGCTTCTACTAGATTCAGCAGAGAATCAGCTCTGAGAGCTCTGCCAAACGGGCCTGCATACTACAAAGGTTGTCCTCTCTCGTGCAGTCTCGCTGCTTCCTTGTAGCCTACTCAAATCCTCGGGAATTTCAGCCATCATTTGGGAGCTTGACGCAAGTGTTGCCGGCTTCACTTTCACATCATGAACAATCAGATCCCTGTACTTGAGCACAGATGGGAATGTGAAACTTAATAGCAGGAAAACTTTCGTAAAAAATAGTGAAAGAAAATAATAATGAAATCCGTCCTCTTGTTTGTTTCAAAGATGAGTTTGCCTATATTTGTATTTTCTAAAATAACAAAATATGGCTTAACATCTAAAAAAACATACCTAGTCTCTTTAAAATCAGAAAATTAAGAGGTCGGTACCAAGTTTTTCTCAAACATAATCTATCAGTTGTTTCTCTATTTATAATTATTTGGATCTCATTTGTTACTATTTCTAGTGTTTTATTGCTCATAGCCATGATCATTGTTTATTTAAACTATTGTTTTTTGCTTTACTTTACGCTGATCAAATGATTAGTTGATTGCATAATGTTTGAGACCTATCTTGTTTTAAACTTATTACCTAGTCTTGTGATGAAATTAAAGTAAAGCTCTAGCCATGCAATGCCTAAATAGGATCTTCATATAGTAGAGCATGACATCTATGAGGTTCCTATCGCCTTCAATATCATCTATATACTTTGGAGTATGTTAGATCCTTTTGGTTGAGCTCTTGGTCTAATATCGTACATAAAGAAAACTTAAATAAGTAATGCTCACGACTATAATCAATGAAATACTAGAAATAGAAAAAATAAGATCAAAATAATTGTAAATAAAGTGTCAATAAACATATAATATTATTAGAAAAAATGTATTAATATTTTTACTATTTTTACCCAATTGTAGTATCGTTAGAAAAATACGTATATATGCAAAACCATCTTTGAAACAAGCTAGAGGGTCATATTTGTAAGTTCAATGGTCAAAATCAATCTCTAACATTATTTCAATTGTAAGAAGAATGGATCTTTTCGCATCCACCCCTCTCGATAAGAATACAGGAAAGCATTGATCTATAAACTTCATTACATTAGGGGAAGGAGTGTCATTTTAGGATAATTAATTTATTCCCTCTGCAAGTGAATGTTGCTTTCGTTTTTCTAGGCTCAGAAAAGTACATCTTACATCTCCTTCTTTATCAGTAGTTGTTTTAGAGAAATGAGTACTCCCTCTGTCTCAAATTATAAGTTATTCTAACTTCTTAGATAGTCAAAGCATCTCAAGTTTGATCAAATTTATATAATAACATAATAATACTTATGATATCAAATAAATATCATTAGATTCTTCATTAATTATATTTTTATAGTATATTTATTTAATGTCATAATTCTCTGTAATTCTCTCTATAATTTTGGTCAAACTTGAGATGCTTTGACTGTCTAAAAAAGTTGAAATGATTTATAATTTGAGACGGAGTGGGCATGCTACAATTTAAAAAAAAGAAATGAGTATCCTATAGTCATCGTGCAACGATGCGCTCTATACCACAATTTTTTTTTTGGTAAATATCAAGTCATGCCATATTTACATTTACGAATACAAAAATCTGAAGGCGCTCGTCAACTTATTTCAGAATTAATGCAAAATTAGTTCACAAATCACAACTGTCAACTGTGTAGTTCAAAAGTTGCTCACATCTACAGTAACGCAGGTATAAATAGTACTAGTGCAATCAAATTATTACATAAAACCCCCAACCGAACTTTAGATGGCCGTGGAAAACAAAAACACACCACACTTTGGTCTGTTGATCTTGTGACAACTGATCCCCTGCATAATACAGCGGTGGATATTGTCACTGTAAATTCAGTCTCTAGCCATGAAGAGTGTCAACTAACGAAAACTGCAAACCTGTCGGTCCCATGCTGTTCCTGCTGCTACACAGCACTCATTATTCTTTTTACAATAGTGCTGCACAAGTTTGTACCAAAAAAAATGTGTCCTACAGTGCTGTGTCCGATTCACAGCACTTCATCTGTTGCTGAAACATGAGCTCCCAGAGCCCTGGGTCGCATGGAAACAGTTCTTACCGGGCATCACACACTACACTCACAACGCGACTTTGAATGCGCACAGCAGTGTCCTGCTCGCAGGGCATCCACGAGAACGAACGCCTGCTAGATGCCACAGCTCATGTCGTACGGCTTGTCCACTATGGGCGACGGCGTGTTCATCCAGTAGGACGCCGACCTCATCTCCATCGCCGTGTCCGACGTGACGTTCTTGTCCTTCAGGCTCTTCCGGTCGAGGAACGCCGGCTTCATGGGTGCTGGGACGGACTGGTCGCTCTTCATCGTCAGCATCAGCACGACGTCCGACATGGCCGGCCGGAGGTTCGGGTATGGCTGCACGCACAGCAGCGCGATCTGGCACACCTGCTGGACCTCCTTCTCGTCGAGCCCGTCGGCCTGCACCTTCGGGTCCACGAGCTCCAGGATCTTGGACTGCTCGTAGAGCCGCCATGCCTGAAATGTGTTTCAGAGACCCAGAATGGTTGCTTCATCAGAATGACTCTTCTCATACTATACTACGGCTAGAACTGGATTCAGGAAGCAGCATACATGTTCTGGGAGGTACTGCATCTCGTTTGGAAGAGACAGGTCCGTGTTCTTCCTGCTGCTGACGATCTCGAGCACGAGCACGCCGAAGCTGTAGGTGTCGGCTTTCACCGTGAGCTCCCCTCTGATGGCGTATTCAGGCGCAGTGTAACCCCTGAATGAAAGTAGATCATACATTACTGCACCGTTTACATTATTGTGAGATACAAAAAAAAAAGTGAAATGGGTTCATTCAGATGACTTACAAAGTGCCGGCAAACGCAGTGCTGAGGTATGTCTGGTCCTCGGGGAAGAACCTGGCCAAGCCAAAGTCGCCGATCTTGGGCTGGAACTTGTCGTCCAGGAGGATGTTGCTGGCCTTGATGTCGCGGTGAACGATCCTCAGGTTTGACTCCTCGTGAAGGTACTGCAAGCCTCGTGCGATGCCGATGATGATCTGGTGCCTGGTTCTCCAGTTCAGAAACGGCGAACCATCACCCCCTGCAAAATTGTTGACAGTTACGAGTCCATGAGCTGCCAAACCAAGCATCAGTCTTTTCTTCCCCTATGGACGACGGACATACAGGGACTTCATGCTTACCAAACAGTATCTTGTCCAAGCTCTTGTTCTTCATGAACTCGTACACCAGCAACCGCTGGGACCCCTCGGAGCAGCACCCGACCAGGCGCACGAGGTTCTTGTGCTGGATGCTTGTGATCATGTTCACTTCCACGAAGAACTCTGACTCGCCCTGCCCAGACTTGCCGACGCTGAGCTGCTTCACTGCAACTTTCCTGCCGTCGTCTAGTTTCCCCTGATCGACAGCACCATTGCAAAAGAAACCATGTAGAAATAGAATCACAAGTTCGCCGAGAAATACAGATGCAATATGGTGTTTCATGGTTTGAAACTTACCAGGTAAACAGGCCCAAAGCCTCCTCTGCCAAGCTGGTTTTTCTGGTTGAAGTCCCTAGTGGCCTTCTTCAGCGTAGCGTAGTCGAAGTAAGTGATCGTCCGGAGGTTTCCGCTCATGTTGCTGCTGAAGTACTCAGGAACATCTGGTATACCAATCAGAATTGACCAATCTGTATTACTTAGCAAAGATGCAATGAATGAAAAGTATGCGTTGTTCCGGAGTGGAAGGCCATGATTTCGTTCACCTGAACCGGGGCTTCTTGGCCGCATCAGCTTCCTCATGATATCTGGTTTGAGGAACTTCCAGCAGATACCAAGCAGGATTATGACGACTATGGCGAGAATGACGACGAAGACGAGGAAGACCGTCCGAGGATCTGGAGATGCCATTGCTGCTCCTTACTTCTGCCAAAGCAAAATTACATGCAAGAATCAACAATCTCAGAATTTCAGCAGTAAGATGTTAAAAAGTTCTCTGTTTTTTTTTTTTTTTTGGCTAATCAACAAATGGATTCCAGCTATACCGAACTGAATGAAAGATTGAATGACAACTCCATGCAGTAATCCTTCGAAAGTTAACATAACGCGCTTGCCATCCTTCGAAAAAGAAAAAACATAACGCGCTTGCCGGCACGACCTTGTCATGCATTGTAGCAACTTTTCGTCTAACAAAACTTAATTAACTAATGATCACCCTTTTCATTTCAGACTCAGTCAGCGATCTAATCAAATACTAACTAACACTTTGTACTATTTATGAACTACTTAATGAATGATTTACCCTACCACAAAGAAAATCCTCTCAACCGCACTGTAAATATATCACAGCGTTTTTCCTCTCAACCGCACTGTAAATACAGAGAGTACATCGATACGGCAAAAAGAAAAAAGAAACACATCACAGCATTTTTCCCGGAAAGCACACGGCGAACCAAAATCGAATCACCATGACGGAGCTTCCGTAGCTCCATGGCTAATGCCTACTCAAGTTTCACTACCGACGTGAACCAAACAAAAACTGTGTTCGCTTACATTGCAGTGGCCACCGGAAGGCCGACCTGGTCAGTCGCCGGTGACGGTCACCGGACTCATGAGTCTTGCCCCTATCTCCCAGTTCCAGCCACTACCGCGCGCGCATCCCCCGGCCGGCGTGGCCCGGCCGCCAGGCGTGCGTCGATCGGCAACTCGCACCCCGACGATCCGTGTGGCGGGAGTCGTGACTCGTGAGCGAGCTAGCGACGGGGATAGAGCGGGGGCAGGGGATGGGGAGGCTTCCAATGCCGAGACGACGGCATAGTTATCGGTTTCTCCGAGGAAGATGTAGGGCATCTGGGAAGCGCTTGTCAGCGAGCTGTACAAATAGAATAAAAGCAGCGATTAAAATAAGTTGATCTGAGTATAAATAGGAGCTGTGTGGGAGTAAGTGTGACTAAAATAAGTTGCTGAAAAACATAAGGTTTAGCTGTTGATTTCAGCTTATTTCGAGCGTAAACAGCTTATAAGCTGTACCCCTTAGGGCTGTAGCGCCGCTCGCACGGCGCGTCCGGTCCGATCCGCCGCGTTGGCGGGCGCTGGCTGCCGGCCGCGCGAGAGAGAGCCAAATGAGCTAGCTTGCGCGCAAACCGGAACAAAACCAGCCTTGCTGCCAATAGATTATCGGGCGGGCAATTCCTGGCGACTGCGACGTGGTCGGGCTCGTTTCTAAAACTCTGGATTTTGGCGCTGGACACGCCAGCAGGAGCCGTGTGGATGGATTTTGCAGCTGGAGCGGGCGGCAAAGAGGCCGCTCCCGCTGGAGTCGGCGCCCGGCGGCTGTTCCGTTCGCCGCGCGTGCGTGCGTGCGTGGGTAGAACTTACGAGCTGTTTGGTTACCTGACTGGTAACGTGAACGGTAATGTAAACAAATCACGGGGGACCTGTGGAGGATTGTTGATCCCTTGATTTGTTTGGTAGCGTACAATAAAAGTATTGGATATCGTTAAGGTAGGGCTTCCGTAACTAAATTTTCGAAAGTTACTTTTGCTTCTCACGGGTCTTTTTTTCTCTCCTATTTTTTCTGTCATTTCTGGTCGGTAACGTGAACGGTAATGTAAACAAATCACGGGGACTTGGGGGTGTGTGTTGATCCCTTAATTTGTTTGGTAGCGTACAGTAAAAGTATTGGATACCGTTACTGTGCTTGGTTTGATGCTCGGTATTACTCCAAAATTTGAATACTGGTCTGGGTCGCTCAATTAACAGGCCATTCAATTGAGTAAATTAATTGATGTCAAGCGCACAAATATATTAATATATTCTGACATGAACATGACAAGATCATCAAAGAAAATTTACGCCAGCTTAAAATTGCTGACCAGACTATCATTAGAATTATGAAATCTTCCATTCCATCTTACAAAAGAAAAGTGCATGTTAAATAAAACTGACATGTCTCAAAATATCCCCTCAAAAAAGACATGTCTCAAAATATCATATCTTAAAATAACTTGCCAACCATTGGAAATTTAACCGTACCGGAAACTAGCATAGTATTTGAAATTCTACCATGTTGATCCTTTAGAAAGATAAAAGTGACATGTCTTAAACAGCACTGTCATCATTCCTTTTCCACCTCCAACAGTAAGCACTATCAACATCCCATTTCCACCTTCAACTCTTGAATGAATATGCAAACATCTTATCTTCCTCCTTCTATCCGCTTCCTTGTCTCCTCTACAAAAAAATGATTTTAGAAAGACAGAGCATATGTGCATCATAAAAACAGCACCACAGATTTTGTGCATAGCTTACAATGACAACACTACAGAGTATGCATAGTTTATAAAGAGTGTTGGCTAACAATCGTACCGTTAAGCATGTTTAGAATGAACTCCCTCCTCAAAGATTGGTAAGGGTTAGCAGTTCACTCATTTGATATGGCGATTTCACAAATACAGTAGCAATTTTGATTTGTTCTGTCCCTGTGAACCCCAGCTTACGCAACTCTGCTACAGCCTTCTCCCTTAAAATATGTTGTGGATTTTCATTCATCGTCTTCTCTTGAATTGCAGCCTCACAGTCCATGGCTTATGCCATTTTTTCAACATTACTAGCTACACCCTTCATATCACCTTGGACTTCATGTAACATGTCCAAAAAAGGATCACTTGTTCCACTATCTTTGCTCTTCCCTCCTTGCCTCTTCCTCCTCTTGCAGCTAGATGATGCTGAGTCAACAGACCTTCTAGGGGTTTCTCTGGACATCCTATCCTCTTCTTCGTCATGTCGATTACCATGTTTAGCAACAAGCTCTTCTTCCATGTTGCCACAGCCTCACTGATATCTTCGGCACCTTCATCAGTGGCTATATCATTTCTATATATTGTAGATAATGTATCATAGTAAGGGAATTTGATGCCATATAGGCCCTTAGCATCGGGATGTAACAACTATTGTGTGTATCACTTGCGTGTTGAAAAATATAAACTAATAACTATATGCATATGTATAGCACCTACTGTATTTCTACGAAATATTAACCCATGGTCGGTCATAATGGACTATGATAGAAAGATTTGAGATTCAATAAAACAACAATTAAACCTTTATGGCACTATTTGATCTTCACACTTGATGCAAAACAGTTGCAACCTCCCTATTATAACCCATGTTTAGCGGCAACCTCCCTATTATATAAAGTATTGGTACTGAAAAATATATAAGATTCAATGCAAGATCTGAACCATCTCTATGTAAACTCTAATTCCTCCAAATTAACTAAGAATGAACTTGTCATGCAAGGACAAAAGTATCTTCCGTTGCATTAGTATGCTGCGATCACTAGATTACTTATTTACATTATGTAGTGATGCCAAATTATCCATCAGAACTACCATGTGTACTCAACAAGTACACCTTGACTACATAGCATAGAACTTCCAAAATCGAGAAGCTACATAGTACAGAACAAGAAAGTGCACACATATACATCCTGGACAGAACAAGATTATGTACTTGAAATCACCTCTCATGAGTCTCATCACCACAGACATGCATATGTAAAGTCAAAAGGATAGCGTACCTTGCAATGTTTATCGTACTGTATCTTTTCACACTGAAGCATCTTCTTAGTATCATCCCAGGTGAAGCCACTTCTGTTCAGCATTTGTTCCAGTGCTCTATACTTTGTTCTAAAATGCCTGGCTCTAGACTCAATATGAGGTAAAGCTAAAATTCCAGCGCCTGGTAGCTTCTCAGCCAGAATGTCCTCCAATGCAGATAAATTCCCATTATTAAAGCCTCCTCCTTGCCCCTTCTACTTTGGCTCCAATGATATCTCATACGGTGCTTTCATAAGCTCATCATCTTCATTCATAGTCCACTTCCTTTTATTCTTTCCCCTTCCACGCACAATTGTTGATTTCTAAGAAAGGTCCATAGCTGCATAGTATTAAGGCCATGTTAAAATACTACACAACTAATATATAATAATTTTAGAACTAGAAGAATATAAAAAGCATACCTCAATTATTAGAACTAGAAGAAGCCCTATAGTTATTATATAGCCCTTGAGCAAGAACATCTCGAAAATTAGTCCACTCATTAGAAGCTAACACACAGGTGATAAATTCTGGTTCATTAACTTCTCCTTTAGTAATTTCCATTGAAGGTACCATTGTTTCATCCTCATCTTTCATTGGATCTCTTGACATATTTTGCAAAATCAAATTATGCAAAAGGGCACAAGCCATTATTATTCATCATTGAGTTTTTATAGGAAAATAAGATGGAGATCTCAAAATTCCCCACCGACCCTTTAGTCTTCCAAAACACCTCTCAATGATATTTCTTGCTTTTGCATGCCTCATATTAAAATATTCCTTTGTGCTATGTGGTGGATTTTGTACGGTCCAAACTCCCAAGTGATACCTTTGACCTCGATATGGAGCTAAAAGCCATTTGCATTTGAATAACCGGTATCCACAAGATAGTAACACCCTTAAGATTGCAAATAGAAACAAAATCAACATTTGCACTAGATAACTTATCATGAAACCACATGAGTTAACAAAACCAAACTCGCCTTGGGGGATACGCAAGCCATTTGGCCTGGTAGTGGCATCTCTCAGCACACTACCGTCATGTGCTGAGCCCTCCCAACCAGGTAGTACATAGATGAATTGCATATCAGGTGCACAAACATCTAGGACATTTGTCACAATGTCTGCTTTTCTAGACCTATACCTTCCTTTTAGCTGAGTTGGAACAATCACCTTTATATGAGTTCCATCCAAGGCTCCTAAACAGTTCTACAAACAAGAATCATATAGAAAAAGAACTGTCACATACTTACTTTGTAATATGTATTTTTCTTTGTTAAAAGAAAATTTTGTTAACAAGTCATTTACCTTAAAATATTTCCAGTAACTATCTGTGCTATTCTCCGGCATTGGTTCTGGGGTCTTAAACAGTAAATGGTGCAATTTCAGAACAACTAGCAGGCATAAATTGTACTGCCCACTAACTGTCTCGCCACTTCGGAAGAAAGTATTTTTTACCGTCCGATTCGTGATGGGCTAGTATGTATAGGAATTGGGCCACTATCTCTTATAGCTCCATATTACGTGTGCCCTTCAACCCAGAAACATCTCTAAGCATCTCACACAGGATGTAGAATGTTCTCCTATCCATGCGAAGCTCACTAATACAGGTAGTGTCGCTGCTACGAATTAGTTGGAACAACTTCTCATTTCTAAGTTCTTCATTTATTATCCTTCTCTCTATCTTGAAACACCTTCTTCTATAAGCCAATGCAAGAAAGGACCACATGTAATAGTACATGACGACGATGGAAGTCAGCATATTTCTAAGGGCCATGTTTCTTCTTCGAGTTCTTGTTGTTAAAGGAAGGCGAGCCATGATGCTGGACACAACATTAGTAATATATATTAATTATTTAAGCACTAACCAGTAAAATAATCTGCTATACACTTAGAAAAAAATGCATTGTTGCATTGTCAAGTAAGAACTCCGAGCAAGTGTCCAGCGACATATCAAGCAACATACAACATGGATTTTTTTACACTAACTTGACAACACAGAGCCATATTGATCATCTCGTATAACTTCTAAAAATACAAACCAGAGCTATCTCGTCAAAATAATAGACTTTAACACTAAATCAACCTTTTCTACGTGGCTTAAACTTATTTGGATTGCACTATAATATTCACCGGTACACATACATTGTTTTGGATAACTAAGACATCAGGTTTTGGATTCAATTAATGAGAAATTTGTGCTGTTTTCAAGAGCATGCTCAATATTTTTGTCCACTCCTATTCTGTGCCGTGAGAACAAAAATATATGGAGTGATAAATGGGAGTATGGGACTGTATAAATTAAATCGAATGGTTAATTAGATAAGTGAATGAATGAGCATAAATGTCAATTTCATCAACCGTGTCATCTATATGGAATGGATCTGCTAGCTGGTCACTCAAATACAATTGCATGAAGGCATCAGTGGTGACATGGAATTGACCGTATGCACGAGATACTTTAATTTTGTTGACACAACAAAAATATCTCCAATTTTATTCAAAGTTCACGGCACCCGGACATATATCTTACTTTTGCAACTCAAGCGCATGAAACAAATATGGATTTGAGAGGGAGTGGAACCGCAGGCCGCAGCACAATTCGGCCCAGTTCTCACGCGGGAGTGGAACTCGAACCACCTGTGTGCGGTTGGCCTGGCGGGACGCAACGTCTGTTACGTCTGCCTGTGCGGTGCCTGTGCCTTGCCTTTTCCATGGCCCCACATGTCCAGATACACCACACGGTCCCACCCGCCAGTCACGCACGGCACGCCAGACCGAAACGCCCGGCCCGCCCGGAGAAACCCAAAAAAATCGCCAGCGCATTTCAAACACAAACGAACGAATCCCTCTCGACGGATCAAATCGAATCGAACGCTGCCTAGGGTTTCCTCCCCTTTCCCCTCCTCACCCACGCGCCGCCCACCCATGGCCGCCGCCGCCGCCGCAGACGCGCCCGCCGAGGCCGCCGCCATCGCGCGGCGCCTGGCCTCCTGCAACACCGGCACCCGGGAGCGCGCGGTCCGCTACCTCCTCTCCGACTTCCTGCCCGCCTCCGCGGCGCGCCTCTCCGCCACCGACCTCCTCAAGCTCTGGAAGGGCCTCTTCTTTTGCTTCTGGCACGCGGACAAGCCGCTGTACCAGAGCTCCGTCGCCACGCGCCTCGCGTCCGCGGTCTCCGCCCCGCCGTCCCCCGCCGACGGCGCCGCCTTCCTCGCCGCCTACCTCACCACGCTCCGCCGCGAGTGGGCCCACATCGACGTCCACCGCCTCGACAAGTTCTACCTGCTCAACCGCCGGTTCCTCCACCGCGCCTTCCTTCTCCTCAGCGCCAATTCCTTCGCCCCCGACATCACCTCCCAGGTCGTGTCCGTGCTGTCGAATAAGGCCCTGCTCCCGGAAGCCGATAACGTCGCCGCAGGCACCTCCCGGGGCCTCGGGTACCATGTCGCCGAGGCGTTCCTTGACGAGCTCTTGCCCGTGCTCCCTGTCAGCCTGGAGACAATGGACGCCCTGCTGGCTCCGTTCTTCACTGTACTGGAGAAGTCGACTGATAGGGTGATGGTGAGTAAGGTGAAGGCAGGCGTGTTTGAGAGGTTACTGGAGAGTGGCAGTCAGTTGCTTGAGACGGTGAAGAAAGGGGACGAGATGGAGAAGGGTAGTGCTGAGGAGAAGCTCGGGAAAATTGGATTGCTGTTTGGATTCAGCAAGAGGTTCCTGGATATTGGTGCAAAGGCAGAGACGGTGCAATCGAACCGGAAGGTGGTCTTTGGGTTGAGGGATGCATTTGTGAAGATCGAGAAGGGTTTGCAGCTATCTGGTCTTGAGATCACTGTGCCTAAGTTTGAGGCTACTGAGGTGCCAGTGCCGCCAAATGCAGGCGAGGAAAAGGCACAAAAGAAGAAGAAAAAGGCCAAGAAGGCTGCATTGGCTGAAGGTGAGATGGAGGAGGCCAAGGATTTGAAGCGTGAGAAGAAGGGCAAGAAGGACAAGAAGGAGAAGAAAGAGAAGAAGAAAAAGAGGAAGGTGGAGGTTGTTGATGAAGGGAACACCACTGAGAAGAGTACCGGTGCTCCTGTAGATGACCAACAGATGGGTGATGGTACTGATGGCATTACATTTGATGAGACATTAAAGTCCAATCTTCAGAAGCAGTTTGAGATGGCTGCAGCAGAAGCTGGTATGCCCAAAGGGGGCAGCAGCTCAGGCGCTTCACCAGTGACACCAGCTAGTGGGAAAGTGGCAAGAAAGAGGAAGCGTTCAAAATCTGCTGATAAGCTGTCTGAAGCTTCTTATGGGGATGATGGCAGCAAAGGTAATCTTCTTGCCCGGGATGGAGAGAAGAGTGGTAAGAGGGTGAGGTTCTCGATGAAGAATAATTTAGTTTGGAAACCTCACAATCCTTTGCCACCGCAGTGTTTGAGGCTGCCACCTTCGGCTACTCCAAGGGGAAGCGCACTAAAAAAGGGCGTTCAGCCAGGGCCCATAGCACCGACGCCATTGAAGAAGGCTAAGCCAAAGGCAAATTCTGCAAAGAAGGTCTTGAAGAAGCAACCTTCATCTGCTGTGAAGCGTTTGCGGAAGTTGCAGAGTTTCTCAGCATGAGCTTTTTGGTGTATGACTAAATGATGGTCATAACTTTGTATCTTTTTTGTTTTGGTTTATCATTACTTGATTCTTATCATTTTTGTAGGTTAGTTTTATACTATGTTGACTTCGCTGTCAGTCATATTCGATGAATTGCTTAATGATTTGCGTTGTCACTGTGCTTTTATGATAATCATGTGGTGATTGCAACAGTAGTACTGTGGTAGTTCTTATGTTTTTGGCAGTACTTGGTTTCCTGATGGACCCCTTTCTTTCCTGAACTGCCCATCTTGCAGCCACGGTTGCAGGTTAGAATATTGTTTGATATGTTATGTCACTGTTGGTACTCTGTTTAATCTGAAGATCAATATAGGCATGCAGCCAGCCGAGCCATTGTGGTTTCTATTTAGATTGTGCTGTTTTGATATGGCTATTCTAGATTTTGTGGTTATTTATGAAATTTGCTGAACTGTGGACAGACACAATCTGTAAAACGTCTAATGATGTTGATAATGTTTTTAAATGTCTAATTTGTGGTAAATTGAATTTGACTCCATCCTGTAATTCAGAAACTTTCAGTAAGATGCAGGCTTCTTTGAACTTGTCCTGATCTATGCTCTGGAAATGTTTAGCAGACAAAAGTACTTACGGTAATTTATAAGTTCATTCAAACCTGTTATTTTGTTCTGCTCTTCTTAGCCCAGGATGAGCCAATATCCAAGCTGTTCAGTTTCAGCAAATAAGCTTTGCTTTACCATTGGTCCTGAATTTGTATCTGCTGTGCAATTTAACAATTGCATCATGTTGACAACTGTTGCTTCGTGCTAATTTACTTGTTCTGTTTGCTGATCACCGTGGTCATGTGCTGCCTGTATCTGAATGCCAAGCCTGTGCCGTCAGAATTTTGTTCAGAATCCTCAACAGCATGAGTAAACTATGTTACTATTTCTTGTCCACTTCTCTAAACACATCAGGGCTTGCACTGCATGGTGATCATATGTTTGTATCTTTTTTCTCTCTGGTTTATCAGTACTTAATTCTTGCCCTGTGTTGACTTCACTGCCGATCCATATTTCATGGATTGCTTAATGATTTTTGTTGTCACTGTGCTTTTATGATAAGCATGCTGTGATTGCAATGGCAATGGCAATGGTAGCAGTAGTAGCTCTTATTTTCCTGGAGCCCTTGGCTTCCTGATTGACCCCTTTCTGTCCAAAATCCATCTTCTTGCAACACCGTTGCAGGCTAGAATATTGTCTGATGTTTTGAAACTGTTTGTACTCTTCACTTTGACGATCAATGCAGCCATTGTGGTTTCTGTCCAGATTGTTGTGTGTTGGGTTTGATTGCTGAATAGTGGACGCTGGACAGACACGATTTGGAAAATTTTGTGGTTGGGCAATGGGCACCGGCGCCTTGTTTTGGCCTCACCTCTGCAAGCGTGTCTGACTGACTGTGATACACTCATACATCAGCAGTGAATTACTACGATCGTGATGGAATTATGGAATTGACCATCAGCAGTGAATTACTACGATCGTGATGGAATTATGGAATTGACCGTCATTATGAGTTTGACGGATCAACTCGGTTCACTGGAAGCTTGAGCAAGCTCCCCGTTGGATGGAACTGGAACTGCCCCATCAAAGATAGCTCGCGCTATTTTTAAGTAAGCCGTGCAATAATCTCAGAGGGAAGCCCGGCACGCCGCCTGCTTTCCGTTGCCACTTCCACCGCATGCCATGCAAATCCTCTCCCGCGACCGCGAGCGATTCATCGGAACGCCGTCCATGATCGAGACAGGATGACGTCGCCGCTGGCACCTTCCCCGCCGGCGCGTCAGGGCATGCAGTCGCCGTCGCCGACGACGAAAGTGGCTCCACCGCCGCCGCCGCTGGCCGTGGACGCGGCCGTCATCATGGGCGTGCTCACGGCCGTGCTCCTGGCGCTCTTCCTCTTCCTCATCTACGCCAAGCACTGCAAGGAGCGCGGCCCCGGCGAGGGCGCCGGAGGCCTGGGCCTCGGGTTCGCGCCCTCCTCGTGCGACCGTTGCCGCTCGGGGCTTAGCAGCTCCGCGGTGGGCACGCTCCCCGCAGTCCGGTTCGGCGACGGCGACGGCGACGCCGATGCCGACCGCGCCACCGAGTGCGCGGTGTGCCTGGGCACCTTCGACGCCGCTGAGCTGCTCCGCGTCCTGCCCGCTTGCCGCCACGCCTTCCATGCAGAGTGCGTCGACACCTGGTTGCTGGCACACTCCACGTGTCCCGTCTGCCGCCGCCGCGTCACCAGGGGCCGCGTGGACGACCCCGAGCCAGAGGAGCCGGCGGCAACGCGGCAGCACGGCCGCCTTGACCTGGCCGCGAGGACGGTGCCCGGCCGGCGCTCGGCGGGCGACGCGGAGGTGCAGGTGCAGGTGGAGGTGGTGGTGCACCGCGCGTGGGACCAGCGGTGGTCCACCAACGGCTTGGTGGGCCGGGTCGCGTACCTTGAGGCCGCCAGGCATCGGAGGGACGACCTCGGCGTCCTGGTGGTCACCGCCGACGAGTCCCGCAGCTCCGCGGCGTCGTCACGCCGCGGTCCTGCTAGCTGGCTGCGCTCATCTTCTGCTCCGGGATATTGCTCCTGCTCACCGGATGAGGTTCTGAATCCTAGGTAGCTGACGCTCGCCGATCGATCGCGTGCATGTACATAGTTTGGCGACAACGTCGGTAGTACAGTGATAGCATGGTAGGGTGGAGTGAAGACTGGAAGGTGCTTGTAAACTGTATTCTCAATGTGCCAAACTGCCAATGAGGCAGCGAGTTGATGTAGACCACTAATGGAGTCCCAGATCAGAAAGATACAAAGTTTCTTTTGTGTGTGGTCCTGGTGTTGCGATCTTGCGATGGAACACCATGGTTTATCCGTTGTTCCAACAAGCAGAGTAGCAGACACCCTGAATAATCTTAGTCTTATAGATGATAAAATGAATGAAAGATAAAAGCCTCTGTAAATGTGAATTTTGGGTGATTGGAGAAATTAGCAGTCCCGTAATTCTTTTAATCTAAGTACCATTTTTCTGTAAAAAAAATCAACATTTGAGATTATGAATTGTGAATTTAAAAATTGATGTTTTTTTGGTTCTTCTGTGTTCCTGAACGACCGTTACAGATAAGGCCAGAAGTGCCGTACGAGCCTCCCAACGGCCGCCGATCACACACACATACACAGACGCCGGCGCACACTGCGGCGCTGCGCAGCGACTCCCCGCCATGGCCACCACCTCCGTCGCCGCCTGCTCCCCCCACCCCCACCTCTCCCGCCCCCGCCGCCGGAACCCCAGCGCCACCTCCACCTCCAGAGCCTCGATTCGGGGCCGCCTCCCGCCTATCCGGTGCTCGTCCGCCTCCTCGTCGCCGCCGCCGGCCACAGGCGGCGAGGAGGGGGAGTCGGGGCGCCGGCAGCTGTCGAAGCAGTCGTCGTGGGAGGCGAAAGATGCGGAGGGGGAGGACTACCTCTACCGCCTCGGGAAGGAAGCGGACAACCTGAACGTCACCGTCGGCGCACGGTCCGGCATCGTCGACGACCTCTTCGTCGGAAACTTCCTCGGGAAAGACTGTACGTGCTCTCCATGCATGTCAAAATGTATACACTGCAAAGATATACATACCACCCAAATAAACATTTATGTTGCGATACAAAAGAAAGCAGAAAAAACTAGAAAATGAAGGGAATTTAATTAGCCTCAGGTCTCTAACCTTTACCTGATCAATCTAATTCTTTGGCCGAAAGAATTACGGTAATAACAAGTAGTTAAACAGGGCCACAATGTAAACATCGTAGCGTTTAAATATTGACCACACTCGCTAATGCTAAATAATAGAGGTTCAATTGGAGATCTATTCTGAAGGATTAAACAAGGAAATAACTAATTTTAATTAACTAGCTAATTAGAGTGTTTACTATTGGGACAAACTAATTTGATAAGCAATAATAAAAATAGAAAGATATGGAGAAAATATTAGGAATACCTAATTTTTATTTATATAAGATACTATTAGAGATTAAAATGGAGTAAGAACAAAAATCATAATATAAATAGTATCATTAACTAGCTAATTAGATAATTATAAGCACCTAGTTTAGGGGGTGTATTAGGGGTGGTACCGGAAGGTTGGGGGGTGCCAGGACCCCTCAGCCCCCCCTTCCCTCCGCCACTGACTAAATCGACATACCTACATTTGATAAGATCATAAGAACAATGCTTGCTCAGCTTAGCTCAGTGTGCTACACTATGTAAACATATTGACGTGCTTGGAAAAAAAATCAAAGGGGCCATACAAGGGGACATCCCTTGGTGTATGCTTTTCGCGGACGATGTAGTGCTAGTTGATGAAAGCCGGACAGGAGTGAATCAGAAACTGGAGTTATGACGGGAGACTTTGGAGTCCAAAGGTTTTAGACTCAGTAGAACTAAAACTGAGTATATGAGATGTGACTTCGACATTATTATTCGGGAGGAGAAAGATATTAGTTTAGAAGGTCAAGTAGTGCCTAGGAAGAATATCTTTCGATATTTAGGATCAATGCTACAGAGAGACGGGGATATTGATGAAGATGTTAACCATAGAATCAAAGCAGGGTGAATGAAATGGCACCAATCATATGGTGTTCTATGTGACAAAAGGGTACCACAGAAGCTAAAAGGCAAGTTTTATAGGACGACGATTAGATCTGCTATGTTATATGGTGCGGAATGTTGGCCTACGAAAAGACGACATGTTCAACAGATAAGTGTCGCGGAAATGTGTATGTTGCGTTGGATTTGCGGTCATACAAGAAGGGATCGAGTTCGGAACGATGATATACGTGATAGATTAGGGGTAGCACCAATTGAAGAAAAGCTTGTCTAACACCGGTTGAGATGGTTTGGACATGTCCAACAGAGACCTCCAGAGGCACCGGTGCGTAGTGAAATCCTAAGCCAGGATAGTAACGTGAAGAGAGGTAGAGGAAGACCGAAGTTGACTTGGGTAGAGGCAATAAAAGGAGATTTGAAAGGATGGAATATACCAAAAGACTTAGCCTTAGATAGGAGTGCTTGGAAAACAACTATTCACGTGCCTGAACCTTGATTGCTTCTGTTGGGTTTCAACTCTAGCCTACACCAACTTGTTTGGGACTTAAATGCTTTGTTGTTGTTGTTGTTGTTGTTGTTGGACGAGTTAAAAGATTTTGATAGCCTGGGTGCTATGTGGTTGCAGCGGATATTGTGTTCGATTACCGGCAGAAGGCAACTAGAACATTCGAGTACCTGCAGGGGGATTACTACATCGCACCCGCCTTCCTCGTGAGTTACTTTTGGATCACTGCAATTATGCTGCTTTTTATTGAGTTTTATATTATCTAATATCCGATTGGCAAAGATTTGACACTGCAGATTCATTTGGTTGCAGGATAAAGTTGGTAAGCACATTAATGTAGAAGGAACTTGGCAAATATTCTTGTATTGAGGTATGAAATTTGAACAGTCAGTAATTTGGTATACAAGTGCTTCTTTCGATTTGCATTGGTCAATTTGCAGCTTTTACTTTTGCTCTTGCACTTGGCGTGGTAATTACTGGTTGTGATTCTACTGAGAAATGTATTAAATAGGAATGGTTAGCATAAGGCGACCTTCTTTTTATAGAAAAAAGAAATATAAGCCAACCAAATCATTAGACTGGATATGTTTTAGTCAAATACATAGACAATCTGAGGTCAGCCTGCAGATGAAATGTTAGTAACTATCATGCATATATGAATGAATGATTTTTCTGCTAAACTTATCTTTAATAATTGATTCTTGGTTTTGAGAGTGAGCTGTTGCTGCACAGTACATACAAACACCTTAATTCTTCAGGAACATGGATATATCTTGTATGATTAACATATTTCTTGTTCTTCTTCCCAGGTACACATACTAAAATCTAAAGGACTGTTTGTTGTTTGCAGCATGCCACATTGTAAAGAACTACATTGCACATCTTCTTAATAATATCAAGGTTCCCCTAATACTTGGTAGAGTAACCTAGTTCTTTGTTTGTGTAGTCTATTCTTGATATCTATTAATGTAATTGACCCTGATAGACTGCACTATGCAGGGATCTGGGGCGGAAAAGGCCAAGGAAAAACATTCCAGACTGAACTTATATTTAGAGCAATGGGTGTGGAGCCCGTTATTATGTCTGCTGGTGAACTAGAATCTGAAAAAGCAGGTCAAGAATCACTTGAACTATATATCCCTATGTGTTTTATCATTATACCATAAATTTGCCCTGCTGTTCAAGTGCTTCTCACTTTGTTATTTTTTCATGCTAATGTGAACTTTATTCCAAACATTGAAAAACTTGTTTCACTTCTTCTTTTCCTTTGTATATACTTTCTTTGAGTATTTGATTAGTTGGGAAAGTGTGAACCGTCAAATTTGGTTCTTGGTGCTTCTGTTAATCCCAGCTTCAAGTGGATAAAATTTGGTACTGTTCAGAACTACCAATTTTAGGAATATGAGGGAGAAGGGTCTCTCTATATTAGTTATGAAGGAAAATTAGTCACCATTATGTTTCACCGGATCTAAATGTGCAGAAATAGTAGGAATTGGTTGTTTTTCTTTCACAATTTTCTATCAGTTGCATGGTCTGAGAGTGTAGCTGCTTGTTGGTTGCTCAGGTATTTCTGTGCTCTGTTTGCAGGTGAACCAGGGAGGCTAATACGTGATCGATACAGAACTGCCTCCCAAGTAATCCAAAACCAAGTAAGAAGGTGTTTGCAGCTACTCGATCTTAGATTTGAGCATTTCATGTTTAATTTTCTGTCTCTGAATCGTGATCATGAAAGAGTATTTCTTTTTTGCAAACTTGCAAAGTTTAATCACAGAAGTTAATCATCTGCATACATGGGGGTATAGTTGTCTAATCATTTTGGATGCTTCAGCGTGATGAATTGGTAATAAAATTTTGACATAGTATTAGTGTTCCTGAATTGCCAAAAGTTGGTGCTATTTTAGTCTTCCATATTCAGGGATTGTGTTCTACGGTTCTGAATACGACAGCTAGTTCATAGTTGTTTTGCTCCTGGAGATTGTACCAAACAAAACATGCTGTGAATTTTGTTCATTTACCTTTTTCATAAGAAGGCACTTGGTTTTCACAAGTTTTTCGGTGATACAGGGGAAAATGAGTTGCTTGATGATCAACGATCTAGATGCTGGTGTTGGAAGATTTGGTGGGTTATTTTCTGTACATGTTTATTTTTCAATGCAATTGTGAATAGGGTTCGTCCATTTACCAGTTACATGCTATTTGGCAAGCTTTGTTTGCAAGGATGAAACCTCTCTTCTGTATATTTATGAATAATTTTTCTTTTCGGCCAGGAATGTATACAGTTTTTTAATCTTCTTTGAGTTTGTTGTTCAAGAATATAGTTATTAGAAAGCAACTTAGTGCTATGTGTTTCTCTTGTTGCCAGGAAACACGCAGATGACAGTCAATAATCAAATAGCTGTCGGAACTTTGATGAACTTGGCAGATAATCCTAACAGGGCGAGCATCGGCCAGAAATGGAGAGAATCTGATGTTACACACAGAGTGCCAATAATAGTTACTGGAAATGATTTTTCAACTCTATATGCACCCTTAATTCGTGATGGCAGAATGGAAAAATTCTACTGGTATGTTGTCCTATCTGGAGCAGTTCTGTATAACGATGGATCACCAACTGAAACTTCTGGACTGGAGTATTTTAATTTCCATTTAGCTTTGTGTATAATTAGGTGTTTGCTTGCCTTCTTGGCATTGGCATTTTATACAGTATAAAATGTGATAGCTGAAGATAGGTGCTAATTTCGTGAGGCATTTTTTTTCTATTCCTTTAATATTCTACAATTTTGTTTTTCTTGCTTGCAGCAGCTAGTTACAACCATTTTGTGCTTAACAGGCAGCCAACCCGTGAAGATATAATTAGTATTGTTCATGGCATGTATAGAAAGGATGGATTATCTGTTGAAGAAGTAGCAAGAGTTGTAGACGCATTTCCAAACCAAGGTACCTTTTGCACAACATAATTGGACTTCCATTTTTTCGCTTGTGTATTATGCTGTTAGAATACAATTCATCGTTGTAAGGATGTTGTTTAGCATTCCTTGTGATTTGGTGTCCACAATTATAGGTTCAGCCTTACATTTGAGTGAAATTAGTGTTTAGTGATCAGCAAATGCTTTGTTTCTGTTAAAAATTATTTTAGTTATCTAAGAGCCAGATAAAATATTGGTACTACTGAAGAATTGGGCTTAGAAATAATAGCCAAGCTCATAAGCAATCCACTTCATTGTTCGAAAAAATTTATTCAAGAACTAAATGAACATTCTGCAGCTCTGGACTTCTATGGAGCTTTGAGATCCAGGACATATGATCAGGCTATCTTGGAGGTATTTTTCCATTTTATAAAGATATTATTTAAAATTCATATGGTTGGTTGTAGAAAAGTAGCTTTAGGCTGTGCTTGTGCAACAATCTAGGCCATGCCTGTTAGTTTCAGCAGATGCGTAAAATGCTGTTCAGATTCAGACATAGCCGAAGTAACATATCACTGTTTCCCCTGCACTGCAGTGGGTCGAAGAAATTGGTGGACATGAACAGCTAAGGGTAAAGCTTCTTAAGCGAAAGAAAGGAGAGGAGCTTCCAACATTTATACCCCAAAGGTATATTCAGTATTGAAGCATATAGACTACTACCTCCAGTCAGGATAACAAGACGTTCAGACATTCACAAAACAAACTGACCAGCATGTCTCATGTCTGAAACGCCATGCTTTTTTGACTGGAGGGGGTAGATGAGTTAACTGATCATTAGACTGCTGATTTTTTCATCCGTTTTGAGAAACCATGACTGACACCCTGGTATCATTTTTTTTTACCCTAACCAGCCATCACTGGAAGCATTGATTGAGTCAGGGTACTCGCTGGTGAAGGAGCAAGAACTAATAATGAACTCAAAACTATCAAAAGAGTATATGAAGAACTTAGAATAGTTTGATACACGAGAGGGTAACTTCTTGTTTTCAGTTTATTTGGAGCAATGCACCATCCAATTTGTTCCAGTTGCATGTGCCGGTATATATAACAGTGTACATATCCAAAAAAAATTCTCTGTGTGTATATGTATCTTAGATGCAGATAAGTGCATAGTCTATCCGAAATTGAAACTAAAGATGCATGTTCTCCCACTTATGTTGTTTAATTTGCCTCCGATCCAACATCCAACCACCAGAGTCGAACTGCTGCTTCGATTTCAGAAAGAATGGATGCATATCGGCATTGTCCTTACTCTCATCACGCATTGTCAAAAGTCTTCGGTTTGACTTGGAAGACTTGTGAGCTGTATCACAAAGTGGCCCGTGTATGTATGTGCAGCGGAAGCGTCCAAACAGCATCATCAATACAGTGCCATTTCACACAGTTTATACTTGCAGGATCGTACGACTATATATATCTTGTTATTTATTTCTTAATTAACATGCCATGCTGCTACACGTGTGCAGGTTCACATTTAATAGTACTAGTACTGCAATAAGAAAGTCGCAGAAATCCTATACCCGACTTTCTTGCTACATTCAGGAACGAACAATTCCGCTAGGAAATTCTTAGATTTTCCTTGACATGAAAGATCTGGCAGTATATGTCCTTCAGCATTTGTACGTAGTAGTAGTAGTAGTAACTTTTTGGACCCAGAGATGTATACATGGAAACAAATTACTAATCTGTTCAGTACCGGAATCCTCAAATTTGCCGAGTGTTTTTATGTTTGCCAAGTGTATTCCCTCGGACACTCGACGAACAAGTTCTTTGCCAAGTGTAAAAAAAAAACACTCGGCAAAAAAAAAAACACTCGGCAAAGATGGAGTTTGCCGAGTGTCAAAAAAAACACTCGGCAAAGATAAGGTTTGCCGAGTATCAAAAAAAACACTTGGCAAAGAAATAAAATCTTTTTCTATAAAAGAAGAAGAAAAAAAAAATTGGAAAAAAAAACTTTGCCGAGTGCTCAGATCTAGAACACTCAACAAAGAAATAAAATCTTTTTTCTAGAAAAGAATGAGAAATAAAAAAATGAAAAAAAATATTTTGCCGAGTGCCCAACAAACAAAAAAAAAATCTTCTTTAACCCACCAGGGCCCCACCCTCCTTCCTCCTTTTCCCGCCCTCAGCCCCTCCCCTTCTTCCTCAGTCATGACGACCCGGCCCCTAGTGCCCCCTTCCTTTTCTTCCCATTGACCCCTCTCCCTCTCCTCCCTCACGCCCCTCCCCTCCTCTTCCTCTCTTCCCCGCGACGGTCGCCTCCTCTCCCTCTCTTCCCTGGATCCAGCGAGGCCGCCCCCTCCTCTCCCTTTCTTCCCCGGCGCTTCCCCGGATCCGGCGCGGCCTCCTCCTCCTCTCCCTCTCTTCCCCAGATCCAGCGAGGACGCCCCCTCCTCTCCCTCTCTTCCCCGGATCCGACGGCCGCCCCCTCCTCTCCCTCTTTTCCTTGGATCCGGCACGGCCGCCCCCTCCTCTCCCTCTCTTCCCTGGATCCGTCGAGGCCGCCCCCTCCTCTCCCTCTCTTCCCCGGATCCGGCACGGCCGGTGGTGGCGTGGTGGTGGTAGCCGGTGGTGGGCGGCGGTGGCGGCCGGTGGTGGCAGCTCGGGCGTGGCGGGTGGTGGCATGGTGGTGGTGGGCGGCGGTGGCGTGGTGGTGGTGGCTCGTGGCGGCGGCCGTGAAGCCGGGGAGCGAAGGTGAGACGGAGGGCGTGAATCTGGGCCGCGGCGCAGGGGAAGGGCGCCGACGAGGAGACCGACGGCGGCCGGCGGAGACCGGTCAGTGGTGGCTTTTTTTATTTTTTTTGGCCGGCGGAGACCGACCGGTGGTGGCCTTTTTTTCGAAAAAAATGTTTGCCAAGTGTATTTTTGGCACTCGGCAAAGTCTTTGCCGAGTGTCCGACAAAAACACTCGGCAAACTAGCGTTACCGTTAAAGGGTTTGCCGAGTGTTTTAGGGCTTGGCCGAGTGCCCCGCACTTTCGCAAAAGCTCTGTATCCTGTAGTGGTTGAAGATAGATATGGTTGTGAGAAGACCAGGATGGAAGCGTCGCACTGTTCCCACGTACGCCTACGTGTTAATATATAGAGCACGAAACACCACTGCCGTGGTTTACAAGATTCACCGTGATTTACTTAACCGGCTAGGAAAGTTGGATCATATTTACATAGAAACTATAGAATACAGTCACAACAGGGTATCCTTGACCGGTACAAGTCTATCACGGTGAATATAACTTGCTTGTTTACGTATACGTTAACAATGGTTAGTTATAGCAAGGACACGGGACCTTGATCCGAATTAAAAGCTTTTCTTTGCTTGTGGGAAACCAATCCAACAAATACAAGACGACTAAACTAGTTTATCCACCACGCAGGATTACTTGCTTAATAAGGGTAATTCCAATGAAAAAAACCAGTAGTTTCTATAACATAGGATACCGCACTAAAAAAAGTACTTTTCAACTTATGGTTTCTATGAGTAATAATTATTTTCTTTTTCTCTCTCCCAACTCAATCTTCTTCCTCCAATGGAAGTGCGGCACGAGCCCTCTAGAAACTGGTGGTTTTTTTCCAATGACGATTTCATGGTTTCTTGGTGCATTGGGTCAAGAGAAGACCTGATTTCTTCATGAGGAAACCATTTCTAGAATTTTTGCTCTCTTTCTTCATTAATTACGTTGCCATGTCAGCGTTTTGGCTACATGGCAAGCCATTTAATAATGATAGAAACCATCATCGATACATCGTTGGACTGCTCTAATTAGCTTAATGAAGCCTTTTTTACTTCCGTGGCAGAGACGATGGGTCATGGGGCGAGCCCGAGGGGGCAGGGGCGTAATAGGAATGGGCGCCTGGCGCAGGGCCCGAGGCAACTTGTAGGGTATCCAACAGGGTTAGGTGGCAGGCGGCGTCTCCTTCCCTTTCTGCCTTGTACTTAAGCTCGCCGCTTCTGTTCACAGTCCATATTTGTTTTCCTCCTGCTGCTTCGATTCCTTCTTGCCCCTTCCCCTCTCTCTGGCAAAGACGGACGGCCGACGACGACGACGGGTTGTCGGCAGCGGCGCTCACCGGCGGAGGGCGGCGGCGTCCATGGAGTGGTGGCAGAAGGCGGTGGTGGTGCCGGTGAAGCGCGCGTGGATCGTCGTCGCCGCCCGGCTGACGACGCGCCGCAAGAAAGACGGTAAGATCATCATCGCCGCCGTTTATACTATCCGTTCGTTCATTCATTCATTCATCAAAACACCAGCATCTGAATAAAGCTTGTTTTGTGTGTGTGTGTGTGAATGTAATAATCTCTCAATCTGCATATGGCCGTCGACTGCATGCCTTGATTGGTTTACTGATCGATTTCTTTTGTCTGGCGAACAGTCAGTCCCTAGTCCTGAACAATCCCTGACATAGTTCCCATCTGATTTCTAGCATCGTTTAGTTTAGAGCTGGTGAATCGTTTCAGACGTTTACTAACAGTAAGATGATCGACTAGTAAGTAGAGTAACCATTGCAATGTGGAACAATCTAGAACGAAGACATCTATCGTCGTAACCGGTTTTCTCAGTTCTAACTGCTAGCTAGAGCCACCAGTTTGTTTGTTTGATCCTCGTCAGACTAAGGACCTGTTTGGTCGGGCTCTCCGGCTCCGGCTCTTTCAGAGGAGCCCTGTCAAACTTTTATTTAGAAGAGCTGTTTTTCAGTAAAAAAACAGAGGAGTCGGAGCTTGTCGGAGCTGTTTTAAAGGAGCCACAAATTATGGCTCCTCCAAAACGGCTCCGACTCCTTCGAAGGAGCCTCTCAGGAGGAGCCGTGCCAAACGGTTCCTAAACACGTGTCGCGCGTGCAAATTTGTGTTAGCAGCACATGACGAACTGACGACGCTCATCATGCGTGCACGCACCGCATATAAAAAAAAATAAAAAATAAAAAAACGCTCAGATGTGGATTCGAACCACTGAAGGATTTCAGGGGCAATGCCCCTTGCTCTTCCCACTGAAACAAGCAAAAAAGATTTTCAATCCTTTGCTCTAACCAGCTGAGCTACCAGAACCACTTGCCTAAAGTCTCTTTTCTTCATCAGTAGAGTAGCTTGCTCAAGAACCGAGAGCCGGCCAGGGACTGGACGGCCCTCGTTCGGGAAGGTCCTCTTCGCTGTAGACGCCACCAAGAACCAGAAAGGGGCGTTCCGCTCCTATATTCTGTCCGACGGCGATGGTGATGGATATGCATGCACAGCCATCATGGCAGCATGAGGCCTGCAGGCAGCATGCTGCATGCATGCGTGGCCGTGTCGTTTTGCTCCCGTGTAAGTGCAAGAGGACAAAGCAGCGCGAGCTCTCATAGTATGAGCAGGGGGTCAGTGCGGTGGACAAGGCATGCATGGAAGTTTGCAGCTTTTCTTTTTCTTGTTTTTCCGTGCACCAAGTAGCAGCGACGCCGCCGAAAAGGATCGTGGATTATTTATTGATGGCTGATTTGATGCGAGAGAAAAATACTGTTTTGATTGAAAATTTACGATCGTTTACGACCAAGCGAACAGACTGTGAGGTATATAGATTTTTGGTGAAGCATAAAGCAGCGTTGTCCATTTTATACTGGTACTGGTACTAGCAGTATATGAATGCTGGCTGTGCCGCAAGCCGGCCAGCACCTACCAGGCTTACATATATCCACACGTGACACGTCACTCGGATAGATAGACATCTAGGAACCATATGCACATACTCAGAACTCAGTGTATATATAGCTTGGTTTTATTATACCAGTAAATGTAGAGCCGGCATGCATCATGTACAGTAGGAAACAAAAAAAGGGGGGGGAGATGAGCAGGGACCAAGAGTGACACACCTGCCTGATAGCCGGCTGCTCCTGGGCCTGCACCGACGAGCGACGAACGAACTCCCTCTACACTCTACAGAGAGCTTCTGGAAGCGATGTCGCCGTGGCATGCTGTAGCATCACACTAGCATCTTTATTTGACTCTTAACCACGCATGCGTCATTTATTTTGGAACGGAGGGCCGGAGGGGGTAACTAAGATCACAGCAAATCTGGCTTTGTCAGCAAGTCTTGTCCGTGCTCATTACACGCCGGGGGTACGTGGATACGTGCACTTGTCACGGCGCTCTACACCCCGTACACATGTCAATCCAGGGCACTGCAGTTAATTAGTGACTGGCTTCCACTGATTCATCGATTGAGTCCAATCAGTTGGCATCAACGTCACACCCATGCCATGCATAGTTTAATCACTACGTGGGTCAGTTTCTCAAGTGGAGCTGCGTGGCGCGTACGCCAAATAATGTATGTACACATTCAGGTGCATTGTAGTGTATGGCACTCCATCATCAACCCATCTTCCTTCCTGCTAGACAATCTTATATACCCAAAAAAAAATCCTTCTAGAAGACGGGGCAACTTTTCACTAACTATTGTGACAGGATATACCGCATATTTGTAACGTTGCAAGTTAAGCATGGCGAGTTTTCAGCCGTGGCAGTTTCTGAATTATTGGAATTTGGTAGGGAAGGAGCGAGCAGCAAAGCCAGCAACAGGGGATGAGGGGAACCAAAAACTGCGAAACAGAGAATCTGGCCTGTACTCTGAATGCTTGTTGTCCCGGACCCCCCCGTGACTAGTGACCAGTCCTATCCCTGACTCTCCCATCGAGGCTGTAGCTGTTGCTGTTGCTGGTGATGCTGCGATGCTAGGAGCAGCCGTGGCTGAAGTGAACAGCGGGAGAAAACCAAAGAACAACACGTGCCCCGGCAGCCGCGCCATGGCAACCGTCTCTCAGGCGGTCGCAGGGCGCATGGCCTGCCTGCCAGAAGCATCGCATCTTTCGTTTCCCTGTCACGCTCACACAAAAGAGGACAGCTGTTGTTTGATAGTACGGAGTATAACACACTTTTATTTTTGTTCTTTTTTTGGAAGAAAGCAGCTGATGATATGTGCTTGTGCTGACGAAACTAACCCTTGTGTTTGCATGCATTCAGACGGCGGCCACAGCGTGCTGGTGAAGCTCCACGACGACGTCCAGACGTGCGCGTACGAGGACGTGCAGGTGATGTGGGAGATGCTGCAGCGGGCCGAGACGGACAGGCTGGCGCGCGAGCCCTCGCCCAAGGGCGCCCGCGTGCTCGTCTGGCTGCGCCGCCACCACAAGATGGACCCGCGCCGGCGCTGCTGAAGAGTACGAGACCCTGCTGATGCTTCCTTCCTTCGGCCTTCGGCTTCGCTGTGCAGCCTTGCCCTGTGATGGATCTGTGTGAGAGAGTCACTCTGCTGCTGTGTATATATTACATACAGGCTACAGCCCTGCTGTGCCTTCGTTTCCTTTGCCCGGATGTACATATTCACCGTTTCATCTTTCGAGAAAGAGGAGAAGAGAGAGTCCGAGAGATCACAGTACCAGTTTTGTACTTTGCTCGGTGCCGCAGCCAATCACCTTGTGGGAAACAGTTCGATTTCTGAAGGAATTGGGCAAGAGCTTCTCATATCCAAGCAGAGCCTTACAAGAAAACCAACTATCCCAGCAAGCAGACCCAAGAACGTAAAAACATCGATACCAAAATATGTCCTTGTTCAGGGCGACACTCGACAACCCATCTCATCTTTCAAACAAGAACCTGTCATTCAACCTGCAAAGCAAAAGCCAAACTTTAGTAATCAATATATGATTCAGAAAACTGGTACACATTAATGAAACAGCAAGGAATTTTAGGGATGAACAAGGTGTTACCACTAGAACTTCAGGCAGATGATCTGAATTTTGTTTCAAACTTGGACAACTGGACTGATAGCCTGGGCGCCTGACTGACATACAAAAGTCCTTGTTACCACTAGAACTTTAGGCAGCAACAAAAACAATAACATAGCCTTTCAGTCTCAAATAAATTGAGGTTGACTAGAGTTGAAACCCACAAAAAGCCCAAAGTCACGGTTCAGACACTTCCATAGCTGCTTTCTAAGTACTCCTATTCAAACATAGATCTCTAAGTATATCCCAAGCTTTCAAATATCTTTTTATTGTCTCTCTCCATGTCAATTTCGGTCTTCCTCTACCTATCCTCATATTAGTAGCTTGGCTTAGGACTCCACAATGCACCGGTGTCTCTGGATGTCTCCTTTGGATATGGCCAAACCACCTCAACCGATGTTGGACAAACTTTTCTTCAATTGGTGCTACCTCTAGGCGATCACGTATATCATCGTTCCGAACTTGGTCTATTCTTGTGTGACAGCAAATTCATCGTAACATACGCATTTCTGCAACACTCAGTTGTTGAACATGTCTAATCTTTATAGGCCAACATTCTGCTCCATACAGCATGACCGGTCTAATCGCCGTTCTATGGAACTTGCCTTTTAGCTTTTGTGGTACCCTCTTGTCACAGAGAATGCCAGAATCTTATCGTCACTTGATCCACCCTGTTTTGATTCTATGGCTAACGTCCGCATCAATATCTCCATCCCTCTGTAGCATCGATCCCAGATACTGAAAGGTATCCTTCTTAGACACTACTTGACCTTCCAAACTCACATCTCCCTCCTCCTGAACAACTCCGCCAAAGTCGCATATCATGTATTCGGTTTTAGTTCTGTTCAATCTAAAACATTTAGACTCAAGGGTCTGCTACCATAACTCTAGTTTTCTATTTACTCCCACCTAGCTTTCGTCCACTAACACTACATCATCAGCGAACAACATACACCAAGAGATATCCCATTGTATATTCCTGGTAACTTCAGGCAGATGAACTGAATTTTGGTTCAAACTTGGACACTTGGACTGATAGCCTGGGTGCCTGACTGCATTTAGTGGTGGGAAGGAACAGCTCGATGCATGTTTTCTACTGATTTTACTTTACTGAAACCACTAGAAATCCCAGCAAATTTGGCTCATGTAAAGTTTACTCATATGACACAGTTACACATTCAAAAACAGTCGTCCATTGACAACAGAGAATTGCAAACAAATCACCTGTAGTTCTATCTACTTCCTGATGACAATACAGTACACAGTGGCCAACTTACTGGTTTTGCACACCATGGATTTATGACTAGGTTTGGTGGTCATGGCATACATACCCTACTCCCGCAATTGATGATCGTATAGATATGTAGCTGAAGACGGACATTGACATGAACAGCAAGGCTTGTTCCTTAGCTTTGAGGCTAACTGCTACCTGTCTGAAAAGATAACACTGCTAGTAAATAAGAACTGTTTATTTATAGTTTAAAATTGCATGTAGGGTGTCTCAAAAGAAAGAAAACGGCACAAGTATCCTGCAGAAAGTTAATACAGCACTGTAACAGAAGTACATCAAAGCCAGGTACTTTTCAGAGAGAGAAACAAAATGAGGGGTCTTCCAGGTAAAAATTAGCCAATAATGTCCCAGCAGCAAACAAAGTATTTTGCAAAGCAATGTTAAACACCAACAGCTATGGATTTGTATTAGTAGTAGATATTTAAAGTATCAAAGTATCCAGTCCTGTTTGTCTTGCTGAACCAGGATGTATTGGACTGCCGGCGAGCCTCTTTGCTGCAGACATAAAATGCAGAGAACATTCAGAATTCAGACAGTCTGCATCCAGGGTTCTCTGATCCTCTCCAACATCAATAAGTGCACTAGTTCAGATACAACATACTTGCGATATATAACAGTATAATAATAACTGAAAATGCTTTTGACAGCCTTAAAATGACACCAGAGACCAGATATCTTTTCTTATCTCTGAAACAAAATATTGAAATTGTTCAAAATGAAAAATAAAAGCTGGACAACAGAAAGAACCAAAGTAACAAAATTTTGAACGGGGATCCATCTGTTTCAGACAACATGTTGAGATCACAGAACACAGTGTGATCACCAATGCATCTCCTTTTTTTTTTTCTTGTCTTGAGTATAATAAACACACCAAAAGTGTGTATGGGGCACCAACCTAATCCCAAGACGTGACTCAGTGCACATCAAGGTACAAAGGTAGAGATCTAACATATAATTCTCATAGCACAGTTACAAAAGAATTAAATGAAATTAACATTCGAGATCCCTGAAATTAGTACTGAAAATACCTAGAAAAATTTTGCAATCAATAATGTACATCCTGACCTAGAAACTTACAGAACATTTTCCTATAAGTTACAAGACAGCACTTGTATTTTGCTGCCCCCAGTCCCTTATGCCGGATGTTACATAGAAGTTGGGACTTTTGGATGTAACACTATCCACCTGGTAAGTGCTAATGAGGCCTAAGCTGCATGGCCAGAAGATGTTTTCCTTTATTTGGGCATGATTTATCAGGAAAAAAGAATGTCTTTCTTTCACTACAACTCTGACAGCTGAACGCGAAATCAGAATTCTGCCTTGACCCCACATGTGCATATTCTGTGTTGTGCCTGCAATCTTGCCACTTCCAGCTCAAATGTACATCGGATGGGCACCAAGAAGCATATTGGTACAAAACTTCAATATGAAGTAAAAAAGCACCATCTGTCAGTCATTTTCCTCTGAAGAACATAGACATATCTTCTCCAGAAGGACTGGCCAGTTCTCCCCGAGATGTTGAGGGTTTAGCTGCATGGCTACCTTAAAATCATTGATGGAGATCAATTGGTTACTTCCGATCTCATTCGTGGCTCCTGATGGCCCGCTACCTGATTGAATGTGAACATGGTTTGGCAGCCAGACACCATTAATCTGCTTTCCATAAGCTTGCTGCTTGTATGGTGGTGTCCCTTTCCTTGCATCCCTCTGAACACTACCTCCTACTAACTCAACAGATGACCTAATCAGGTTTTTCATGTACTTATCCAGAGCAATATTCAGAAGCTCGGCACTATCCATTGTGACACCAGCTAAACCCAGCGTTTCTGCTGTTTTCTCCATCCGTCTGTGCAGCAGCTCAGTGTTGAACAGCCCACCATGATCAAGACAGCTGTTAAAGTGATCCTCACCTGCAACAATTCGTGGAGGTGGAAATTTCCTTGCACCACCCACACTTGCTGAACAAAATGGAATTCCTAGTGGAGCTCGTACAGGACTTCTCAATATTTCTGCAGACCGGTCTGCAGTGCTGCTCATACTTCTTCTCTGCAAAAGCATATTATTGGGTGGCAACTGTTCCACGCGTGGATGCTTTGCCAGTGGCTCTACAGGTTCGCATTGTTGAAAATGCAATCTCTTCAACTCAAGTGGATTTATAATACCATTCTCCAGAGATCCAGAAGCACCGTGAGTAACTTGGTTGTGATTGACAGCAGTCGTCACCCTACAATTTGGGCCCATGTTATTCATACTGTCTTTCAAAGTATGATCCTGTGCTGTAGCCACAGGCCTCAATCCCTGAACCTGTAACAACCTGGCATCACCATTGCAAGCATTCAACACTTCAGCAGCCTGAGAAGCCTTCTTTACTGATGCCCCAACAGGTCTCCTCCCTGCATCCAATGGAGGAGGAGGAGGCGGGCACTTTCCCTGGTAGGCATTGTAGAGAATTGCACGGATTAACCGGTTGTGCAGCTGGAGGTTCTCCCGCCCCAGGGTCTGCAGGCACAGCTTTTCAAAGTCCTGCCTGCCGAGCCTTTCCGATAAGTAGCCATTCAAGTAGCCAAAATATCGCCGCGAACGATCCGGACCAAGCCGCTTCTCCATCTGAGCCTTGAGCTCCCTGAGATCGATACGGCCATTCTGCTGCTGCTGCTGCTCCGGTTGGGGAGCTGATGGCTGCTGCCGCTGCTGCGGTGCAGCCACAGGCCATGCCTCCTCCCTTACTGTGTCCATGCAGTTACCACCGCAGCAAACCCCAATATCAGACCCGGAGTAGAGAAACCAAAGAATTGGGGATAGCACGCCGCACCCAGCTAGGATCAAACCATTAGGGCTTGCGCCTCTTCCTGCAGAGCGCGAGCCCGTACCCGAATTCCCAGCTCGCCGGCCATGGAGGGGATCTCATCTCCGCTAGCGCCGCACCAACCGCCGCGAGATCAAGAAGCCGCCCAGGGAGCGGCGCGGAAGGCCCGAATCGAGCATAGAGGCCGCGGGCCTGGCGAGCCAATTGGATTACCCGCCCAAACCCTAAAGCAATGGAGGCATGATCCCCGGCCTCGCCGAGCTCCGGCGAGCTCGTACCTGCTGGATCTCCGGCGAGGGAGACGACGCGCCCGGCGGAACCGAATCGAATCCGAGAAACAGCAGGAATTGAGCTGACCTCCGGGAGGGGAGCAATTGGGGTTGGCGGGCGGGAGCGGGACGGGGACCAGCCGAAGACGAATTGCCCTCGCTGCTCACCGGCGGGCGGGCGGGCGGGCTGCTCTCTCGGCGGCGTTGCTCGGGCGCGTGGCGAGGCGGCTGCCTGCTGCCGCTGCTTCGTGGGTTGGGATGGGCTCGCTCGTGTCTGCTTTGCTCCTTGCTTCTTCGTGTTCGTCTCAGTCTTGGGTTCTCCCTGTCATTTTTTTTCTTTTTTTTTTTTTTTCCTCTTCGAGGGTTTTTTCTCGGCCTTTGAATCGGATTTGATCGCGCAGGAGTGCCCAGAAGAGAAGAGGATCTGCTTTGGCTTCCCGGCCTGTCTCTTCACTCCTTTGATTGCCACTATACTCGCTAGCAAACGTGCTGGAATGTTTCAAGTACTTACAACAAACAAGGCCTTGTTTAGATTGCCTTAAAATTTCAAGTTTTTTCACTCTCTCTCCATCACATCAATTTTTGGACGTATGCATGGAGCATTAAATGTAGGTAAAAAAAATAACTAATTACACAGTTTGGTTGTAAATCACGAGACGAATCTTTTGAGCTAGTTAGTCCATGATCGGATAAAGTTTGTCAAATACAAACGAAACGTGCTACAGTGTCCATATTACAAAAATTTGCAATCTAAACAAGGCCCAACATGTAAAGTTAACCTGTCTTGTTCGATTTAATTGGACTTGACATAATTATATTTAAAATTAAATTCTAAGACACATAATAAATGCTAGTTGTAATAAAGGATTAATATCGTATAGAAAATTGAACGGAGATTAACTCAGCTTAAATATATATAGCTATTGTCTATGTTTGTTGTGAGGTTAAAAGAATGAAAGGCTAGCCACATATATATGCCAAGTTGCAACACGAATGGACTCGAATTTGGCCAATCAGACCAAGTGAGTGTTGCGACACCATTAAAAAATTTATAACTCCAAACTAAGGGAACAAGTATGGACGAAAGAAGGGGTGGGAGTGAAAGACAGCCGTGAAGCTAGAAGAGTCAAAATAAGTGATGAAAGAAGATGGGTGGGTAAGAGATGATGGATCGAGAGAGGAATTAAACTAAGTTAAACTAAGTTACATTCCAATTCATTCCAATTCATTCCAACACATGCATCCAAGGCCTTACTGGTTTCAATCCGAACACGCTCTAAGTCATTCTCACTCTCTCGGTGTGGAACAAGGTCACTGATCTGTGGTGTGGAACAAGGTCACTGATCTGGTATGTTCAGTTAGCTGCCCCATTTTTTTAAACCTTACCACACATTTTGTCGCAACTATTTGGTTTATGCCATACTTATGGCATGCCACATTTTTTTTGGCTATGGACTCCACTTGTCATAGGTTTGCTTTTTAGCTAAATTTTGCCCATGTCATAGCTAACAAACTTTCACATTTTTTCTGCCCTAAACCTCACTTGTCATTGAGCCGATCTTTAGCTATTTTTTTTTCCAAAGATGTACTAACTGGGAAATTATTGGCCACACATTAAGCAAAGAGCTGGGAAATTACTAGCCACTTTAGCTAATTTTTTAGATAGGCTCTGCATACTGTTAATCCCATCAATCCAACTAATTGGCATACTCCCAATATGCTGTCAGACAATTAACATTTTGATAGCTAGATACTATGGCGACAAATTATAGTTACTTGGAGAAACCAGTCCAATAAGCGAGAGGACCAAACCACCGTCCAGTACATAAAACGGCCATAGAGTATTAGAATCGAAGATAATATGTTACGTTAATAATGAGCAAGTCTTCGATATGTAGTTACTTGATAATCATAGGAAAGTAAATGCACATGTGATCTGGTGATATGTTACATTAACCACGAACAATCCTTGGGAAGTTTAACAACCATGTGAAGATAAATGCAAGTTTAACAACCATGTGAGGCTAAATGCACCTGTATGCGAAGCATTTAGATAAGTTTTTGTAATGCATCTACAAGAACTCAAGAAGTTACAGAGCGCGGAACATTCACACACCACGTGTCCATTTCCACACCCTCTGCATTCACACACCACATGTGTCCATTTCCATACCATCTCTGTTTTCTAGGTCCAGTATAGAACTGATTATACGTCTTTAAGACAAAAAAATGATCAAATATAAAGAGGATTTTTCTTTTATTTTACAACTCATGGAAGATGTTTCTTGTTTCAAGACATGAACACCAACTTGTCCATTATACCACATAGATCCTAAAAAAACGGAAACCATTTTCACATTCCTTGGTTCGGATATGTACTCCGAATAGAAAACACCAAAGATTTGAATAGAATGGAAGAAATATGTGGAGAGTTCTTGTTACTAGCATCTCTTATGCATATGATATAATGCTCTACCTGCATCGTTGAAAACATATCCGTGTGAATCAAATACAGTAATTAAGAATTTACAACAAATGTGGTTCATGATATTTGATATCGATAGTCTTTTTTAGATAATGTTGATATCGATAGTTGGAGACAAACAAAACAATTTGCGCATTAGCTAATCTTCCTCAATGTGGTTGCCACTTTAACAGTCATCCTGTATGATGGCAAGTAAAGTGTCTGTGATGATCCTTGATTTGGGGTAAAATTGATGGCGCATGGTGGGTAGCATGGCAGCCGGGTGTCTCTGATTATCCTTGATTTGGAGTAGAATTGATGGCGCATGGTGGTGGGTGGCATGGCTGCCGGCAGCTGGAAGAGAGGAGAGGAGAGAGAGGATTAGGGTTTCCCCTAGATTATTCTTGCTTAATCTCAATAGATACATCTCCGATTACATTTATAGGGAGGACCCAACCTATTCCAATTTTTGGACTCTTCCCAATCCTAGATCTAGATGGGTTTTGTGCTGCCCTATAGTACCAGTGCTATATTGAGCGCGTTCGGCTGGCTGGTGGCCGGCCGGCCAGCCCACTCACGAAATCACTGTTCACGGGTATTTTAGCTTATTTTTCAGTCCTGCCGAACAGGCTCATTATCCACGGGTACTGTTCACGCCGGGCCATATTGGCCTGTCTTGGGTCTAACACCTCAGTGGCCTACCAGGACTATTTAGGCCCGTGACAGTGTCCTTATGCCCTGACCTCGTTATCTGCTATAATTCTTGGCAATCTACTTCATATGTTCATCAACAAATTTAAAACTTGGTTTCCTTAAATATTAGGACGTGACTGAGAATGATCATATTTGTGTAGCTCACACATGTTCTGACACAGTACATGTACAAGAAATGTATTTGACCTGTCATATTTTAATAGAAAAGACTCCAATAGAATATGAAGTGTGCATAGTACTACGGTTGATTTTGTACTTGATTGAATTCACAGACTTATAGTGCATACAGTAGTTCTAGAAATGTTACCTGCGCAAAAAATAGACTTAAGGACTAGCTGATTGAGTCCTCCGGGACAGTAGAATCCTGAATCACACGGTCAGGGTCTAGCTGACCACTGTAATAACTAGATGGCACAGCAGAAAGGTCCAACTTTCCAGTCCACTCCTCACCAGGCTTCAGAGTGACAGGCTTTTCTATAGCAGCCGCCTCCACGCATACCATTCGCTTATATTCATCATCCCCAAAATCTGACATAGCCTTTGCTTTTTTATCCCAGGGTTCCAAACAACTGTAACGAAGAATATATGAAACCTCATGAACTTCATTCTTGAATTGTTTCAATGATAACAATCTATTGCAATAGCAAGCAAAGTAAAGATGAGAGCATTCACAAGACCAGCATCAGGAAGGCCTCCTTTCCTCACAACAAATGTTCTTTTCTTCTCATGATCAATAATGGCAATTTTTGACGGTGTGCCCAGATATATTCTGTCCAGCTGCAAAATTGCATATGCTTTCTTGAGTAATAACGAGAAAGAGAGATGATAAAGGGTAAATGAAATGCTTTGTCGACGCACTTCGGATTCAAAAAACAATTGCATCGCCTTGTTCAGTGAAACGGGCTCTATCTTGTAAGTTGTCTAAGTAATCCAGAGTTTCCAAACCTTCTACTCGCACCTCACTGAAATATTAGCATGGAGTCATGTAAACACTTCTGTACTTAAGAAGACTAATTACAAAGGATATTTATGGTTGAATACCAGAGTTTGGTCAAACGAATTGGGACTGGGGATAAACATGCTGCCACAAGATTATTTCAAAAGCTATGCTGGCAAATTGAATATTTCAAAAATGATGACCATGATTTGAACCAATGTACCTGATATCAGAAATCTTGAAGTATGTGTGGTATGCAAAAGTGAAAGAGAATGACTTCCCATCTGCATTAGTGTTTCTTATACGTGAAGTTAGCATCAAATCACCACCAGGACTAAGTGCAACCCTCAGGCGGTACTCAAAACTGCAATATAATATATCTGTAAATATACAGATGGACATGCTTGCCTTCTAATGCAATAAATTACTAGGAAATATAACAAAGATAAGCCTTTCAGGCGTCCTACGGTAGCATTAAATCATTACGAGCAAGTGACAATAAGCTCACCTATGAGGCCAGATCTTCAAATCCTCTTCAGTAGGTTTGAGGATCAAGTCCACATAAGCTGTATTGGAGGTTGGCACTGGAAATGGTGGAGGATCATTATCAACACACCATGTCCTATTCCTTGCAAATCCATGTTGCTCCAGATTCCCAAAGTTGGAAAACTACATAAGTGGAATTAAGATTCCCATAGAAGAAGATATAGAGAAGCCAAAAGCTGTTGGAAGGATAATGGCGTACCTGTGGAAAGCAGATTGGTATTCCTCCACGTATAGCTTTTGGAGGCTTGAAAATAGCCTGATATAATAGCAATAGTAACACTCAAACATCAAGCGATCAAGACAAAATGCAACTCATACTCCAGCTGCTTTTTTTCCCAGATTCAAATATTATTGCATGTCAAGAAGCACAAAAGAGCACCAGAGAAGCACCAGTAACATTCACATTATTTTCACAACATCTGCCAATATGATAAAGAGAGAAAGGTGTACGTGAAATACTAGCAGTGAAGGTTAGTGTAGATATTCTTTCACTTACTGAATTAAACAATCAACCATTAGTCCGTAACTCAAGATAGAACTTGATGGCTACAGAACTTATTTCACCTAGAAATGAACTAAACAAGTGGAAGACTATATTTCACAATGTCTATGTTTTTGTTAGCATGCATGCAACAATCCTAAAAAGTTCATTACAAGGAAGATACTGTACTGCTTTTGGATGGACAAAACAGCTGCAGAGCAATAATTTCAGGCAAAGAACAGACTGTAGACTGGATCAAATCAAGCAAATAAAGGACATATGCAGTCACACAGAGATGAGACTTAAATTCTAACAGTTCAATAAATCAAACCCGCCAAAAAATGTTCACTATAAATGATATACTGCTGAAAGATTATAAAGGCAAAAAAATAGCACCTTATTGCTAACAAAAAGTAACTCATCTCCATGCTCATCTTTCCATGATGTCACATGCCCACCATACAAGTACACCTACAAGCAATGAATTATATTATTATCGAAAGATCAAATGTTTGTAGTAGGTTTCAAGAAAAAATCAGAAGAGCATATACAGGATACCAAAAAAATTAAATAATTTCATGTGAACTTTGTATAATTCTGTTCAGTGCTGTTCTTTCCCATGACTATGTACTGGAAACCATGTTGCTAATTGTTTAGACAAATAATAGAGCCCATGGCAACAACTTTTTGATAGCCCAAGTTCAAACATGAGTACAATATAATCTCTGTGTCAAAATTCTGAGGGGATATATGAGGTTATTACGATTGACTTAGCATTGAGTTTCTAATAGCAAAACCTTACACAACAACATTTTAGTCTATGGTTACTTAGCCCCATATACCTTCTTGTTATTCATTTCAAGTTTCGACTCGCCAAATATAGAATGCCTGTGCTTGTAAGTTAACATAGTCAACCAGATGGTGCAATTAAAAGCAAGTCAAGTGAGCTTTGTAACTAAAAGTACAACAATTGGCATGAAAATAATAAACGACAATTTTCAGCAATGCTGGGTGCCTGGTACAATAATTGAAATAGGCAAGTATCCACGAGCTTCCCTGTCCAACCTCTTAGTCAAAACTAAGGTTTATGCAACAAAAATCACCCTCCAATAGTCCCCCCTATCCAACATCCTATATTTAGTGGTATCCCAAATCACCCTCCGTCTCCCTCAAATTAAATTTGGGGTGACTGTTGTCCACCCTGTATGTTATTTGAGTAGGGGAACTGTAAAATGTTTGAGAAGCGGGATTTTTTTGGTGGTCAGGATGCACCCTATACAAGGATATAGGGGAATTAAGTTTAGGAGGACTCTTGGAGATGCTCTTAGACCAAATATCACAGATAGGTAGTGCAGTAGTGCACCCTGAACAAGCTTGTCCTCTACCCATCATCTTAAGTTATCTTATGGCATTCTCAACAATGGTTTGCATGTTGATTTCACAATCATCAATATGCTTAAGCAGAAACTGTGTCACAGCAGAGAAGCACCCAAATGAACGCCCAGCTATTCACCATCCAAGATGCCAAAGCAAGAAAAAAGAAGCATGAAGGTTGAGATTTCAAATGATGTGGAAGTTGCCCGAATAATCAAATTTAATTTTCCATGGAATTGCTTTGATATATCCAAACTTTATGTCACTGTAAAAACCATTCCATTCCTATGAGCCCAAGCATACAGAGGGATGGCCTCTGCGATGGCCGCTCACCATTGCACGACACATTTCAACATCCCCTTCAATACAAATGTTCCACAGCTCTAGCAGTTACACAAAGGATTAACGACTATTATCCTTTACAGGTTACATAGCTTACCTCCTAATCCAACCATCAATAAAACCATGTCTGCCATGTCCCCAGCTCCTCACAATTTTAGAGCAACTGAATATCTCAGGGTGTGCACGACTGGATGCCTTGTTTGTACTTGTACTAGTATATTTGTATGGAAAATTTTGCCGGGCAATGGTGGTCAGAGTGGCTTAGCCCGAGTGGAGAACAGTCCCTGTAATTCAGAGTCCTTGGCTACTTGCAGTACAAGGGAATCTAAGCCCCGTGTTCAGGAATTACAGAAACACCATGACGGATCACATTAGCCACTTCTTCCCTTGTTGGGTAAATCTCGGATCGTCATTGTTCAGCAACTGTTTGTGGGAAGACAAAGGATGAAAACTGAATTCATGGGACAGGCTTGGACTCGGATCAGCACACTGGCCTGGTACACCTTGTCAGTCTGTCACTCACAGGAGCCGCAGAGCTTTGCTACGACGAAGCATATCTGATCTAGCATGGAAAACCCGCTGACGGACGGAGTACTATATCACCAACTACCGACTACGCGACAGGAGCAGCAACCGAGAAATCCGGCTTCGAACAGCACCATGGCAAGCGCCACGGATCTGCGCCGGGATCCGGCAGCCGGAACACGACCTAGCGAGCGCAGGCAACTGAGCGGGAGTGGCAGGCGGGAACGAACCTCTGCGGAGCTGCCCCGGACCTCGCGGAGCACGACCTTGTCGAGGTCGTTGACGCCCTTGCAGTGCCTGACGGGCGCTGCCTCCTGCTTATTCTCCTCGCCCGCCGGCGGCGACGACGCCGAGGCCGACATGGTGTCCTTCCGCCGGACCGAGCACCACCGCACGCCGAGTCCGAGCGGAGTAGTGGAAGCTGGAGAGCCTGGAGGCAGAGGGAGCGCAAGTGGAGAGAGGCAGGCGCAGATGGGGTCGAGGTCGATTTGGGGAATTTCCGGACAGCGCCGCTGTGCGTGCGTGTGCGGGGGACTAAATAATCATCGATCTCGCGCGTGGGTGCGTGTTCTTGCTCGCTTTTGCTTTGCTTCATTCAGCTCGGGCGGGCGGATCGCTGGATGAGCCATGGAATATGGATATATGCCTTTGCTGGTACGTTCTGATGTGCTTCGCTTTCGCTGATAAAAAGGTCATTGCGCTCCATCCAAATTCCAAAACCAAAAAGGCAGCGTTCCATTCCACTTGCTTCGGTGTCTGTACATTTTTGGTGTTTTGCACGGTATGCAAGCCACTACTTGTTAGGGTATATTCTGAGAAGTACCGGATACATACGTGGAGACACAACAACGTTGGGATTGGGATTGGGATGGAAACACTCCACTGTTTTCTCACTGTGAAGAACTCGTTGAGTAAAAAAAAAGTTACATGGAGGTGTTCATCCAAAACAATGCACATCTTGCTTTCTAATAGTCAATGAATTTCGATTCAATTACATATAGTACAAATGTTTATGACACAACTAGGCCACTTAGTTTTGACCCCAAAAGTGTACGTACGCTTCCAGACGCCGTCATGCTCCGTCGATGGCGATGATCCTGAGGAAACTGTCGACTGTACTATCCTATAGTCCCAAATCTGTCAACTCGCGCCAGCCAATCAGTAGCCTAGCTGGCTTGTTATCCGATGATTCTTGTACATTTTCCAGTTTCCAGACCAGTCAATCGAAGCAGCAGGACAATAAAAAATGGATAAAGATGGGAGCTTGGGCTGAGATCTCGAGTCCCATCACAGGATCCAGGCCGACGCGACGGCCATCGGCCAGGTGTGCGCTGGCTGACGTAGCCCTCAGACTCGACACTCGCGCCGCGCCAATGTACCGTCGGGCCGGATGCTCCGTGCTCGGCTGCTCGCCCTCGCCCCGGATCAGATTCCAATCGGTGCGACGCCGACCCACCCCACTCGCACTGGAGATTGGCTTGGCGCTTGACCGACCTGCCTGCATCTGCAGAGGTGCGTGGCGCCCGGTGACTTGCGTCGCGTCGCGGGTGCGCGGTCAGAGCCGTGGGAACTGGGAATCGATCGATCGCCGCTGCCTCTTCCCCACCCGCCGCCGCCGCCGCCCACCTTTGTGTGAGCGTGAAGCCTACGTGACGTTAATGAAACGGAGAAAAAAATATATATGCGGCGATGTTGACCAAGCTCTGATTCTCTCCGGCTGCTACACGCATGGTGGCACTTCCCTAGCCCACCAAAGCTGATAGATGCTCCGCGGGCTGTGAGGGAAAAAAAAACCCTCTCACCTCCTTGAACTATTATCCACCGAGTTCGTTACCAATCGCAGTACCAGTACTGGTCATAAAATTCCTTACTTGACATGGGAGAAGACTAAGATCATGTTTGATCCTATATGGTCTAAACTTAGTGGCTAAAGTTTAAACCACTCTCGAAACAGGAGGTCCACAGTGTTATCTAAAGTTTAGACTAGCTCACAAAGCTTTAGACCATATAAGTGAGTTAAAAGTAGTCTAAAGTTTTAGTGTTCAGCCTTAATCAACTAAATTTCAGACCTGAGAATCCAAACAAACCCTAAGACTCATGTTCTATTTGCAGTTGAAAAGATTTTAGCAATTTAGCTCCTTATTATTCGCCGTCTCTATAATTTTCACTACCTTTGTCACTTCGGCGCATCTCACAATTGGTTATTGTTATAAGGGGTACACAAAAATACTTTTTTGCTCTTATAGTATCAAATAAGTATGATTAGATTCATCAAGAAATATACTTTCATATTATACCTAGCCATAAACATTAATATTCTTCTCTATAACTTCAATGAACTTGAGATAATTTGACTTAAAACAAAGCTAAGATATCAATATTTAGTGTCAAAATGTACATATTATTCTATATAAACTTTGTGAAATTTAAGATAGTTTGGCTTAAGACAAATAAAACACTAGCATTTGCGGAACGGAGGTAGTAGTATTAAATTTGGCCTAATTCCTTCGTGTACAAATATACATGAACTATTTTTTTTGACTTTGTGGATGGCTTCACGGGGAAAAATATCTTCACAAATATAGACACCCCCACCCCACTGGCCCACCCAACCACGCACACAAAGTGTATTATGATTATACTTCCTTCGATCCAGTTTATAAAATATTGTCAATTATGGCACGGTCTCCCAAATTACAATTTAGTTACTTATTTATTCTATATTATATTTTTATAATAGAAAATTATGATTATTGATAGTATATTTGACTACAAATCTGATCATGCCAAGTTGTATTACAACAGTTAAAATTTGTTCGTCATATTATTGGTTAAAAATGTAAGTTCAAATATTGGGCATGTCTCATGATGGAGACCGTGGCTATGGAAATTTTCGCCAAGCATGGATGGTCGCTAAAAAGGCTTAGCGCTTAGCGTTTAATCAATTTTCCCTTTGTTTGGCTTCGCTTTTTGAGAGCTTAAAAAACAGCAAGAGGCTGGATTTGTAATAGGAATTGGTCGTGTGCAAAACTCTTGCCGAGACCGGAATAAAAATTCCTTTTTCTAAAAAAAAATGTGTGCCTTGTGAACTGGACCGCAGGGAGTAGTGATACGTGTAACATTTGGATGGTTCCCTTCCAACAAAAATATTCATGACTAGCTTATCTATTTTTTGCCTTGTAGATGGCTTCACTTCAGTACAACAGGAACACACATTGAGACCAAATACAGATCACCACATAGCGATCTTAACAAGTTCAACCAGTAGATAAGTTCATCATCAGTCCAGTTCATGGTCGGTGCTAGGTGGCAGAACAACCAAAGGGCCTGTTCGCTGGTTGGTGCTGGTGCTGGTTTGGGCTGGCTGGTGCTGGTTTTTTATGAGAGAAAAACACTGTTGGCTGGCTGGTTTGGGCTGGCTGAAACCAACAAGCGAACAGGAGCAGCGAGCAGGAGCAGCGATGGGCTCGCCGCCGGGCGACAGCGCGCGGCACACATCGGCAACATGCCAATCTACTTCGGAACCGGTCGGCGGCGAACTCGAGCAGGAACTTGTCCATGTACTGTATATAGACCGTAGTGGGTCATGTCTTCCTGGCAATTAAAATTTCTTAATGATATCAAAGGCTGATGGTTAGTAAGTAATAGAGATTTGCACAGCAATAAAAACTTTAAAATATTGACCCTCTCTTGAATTCTTCCCTTCAACCTCCGCCGCTGAGGGGAGTAGATGGATAGGCGGACCTCGGGAGAGAGAGATGATTTTTTTTTGAAAGGCGTATAAGGGGTTTAATCCCCTACTGAAAAATATATTAAAAAAGTGTTAGAAGATTACAAACCAGAAAAAGGAGAGGGAAAAGGGGGCCTAAAAAGAGAGATGAAAATTTGGAGGAGATTTTTTTATATATATTAGATACATGTATAGGTATATAAGTATAATAAGTGAGATAAAAGGACAATTGTCGTCGTGTTCCAATCCACTACGACTGCAGCAAATGCAAACTCATCAGTCACATGGCGTGGATTATAAGCTGGAATAGTATTTTTCTCTCACACCAAACCAGTCAGCAGTAAATAATCGAATAATCCACGATTATTTACAACGAAACGAACAGGCTGTCGTGCATCCTCACTTATTGATCCCAATAGTACGCGCACGCGCCAAACAAGTTTGAGGCCGACGGGACGGAGACTTGGAGAGGATCTTCTCTCTTGTGCGTGTTCAGCGGTCGACTCACATGGCGTGGATAGTATGCACATCGAAGCAGCTCAGGGAGGGAACGTCCCCATTGATATCTTGATGTACAGTGATTCTAGCCGAACAATAAGACTTTTTTTTTTCCTTTTGAATAGGAACCAGTGAGACACTTGCATAGTTGCATAGCATAGCCAGATATTTGAAGAACCAGCTATAACGCTCCCAGCTAGAAACACCACCAGGGGCTACCTATCAACACATAAAACTCACTAAGACAAAAATTCATTGAGATTTCAGCAGAATCTCTCCTAAAAACTGGGCATCTGAGATATAAAAATCACCGATCATGTATGATATAGAATTATGGCTGGGATTTGAACGCGGGTGAGCAGCCTGGCCACTGCCAACACCAAGCTATGAGTTCGTTCGCATACGTTTTTGTGTATAAACCAGTCTGTCAGCCATGCACGATATATGTATGTCCAATTAAACCTTGGTAGATCTTCTCTCGAGAGTAGCTCCAGCATACGTGAGAATCAAACCATAGTGGTAGGAAATCGAACCAAGCACACCGAACCATGAGGTGTCATACGTGAAATCAGATCTTGCATACAAGTTGAACCAAGCTAGATTAAGAAAAACTCCTCCTGACAGCGAGACAGATAGTACCAAGCCGAGAGCGATAGATTCACACACCTTCCAAAAGCTAACACGTGGAGAGAGAAACAAAAGTAGCAGGGCCCGTGAGCTGAGGCACCAGGTGATTCTGCAGAGCAAAATCGTTTCACACTAGAGGTATCCTGACTAGAGATATGGAAGATGCAAAAAAAATTCCATAAACGCAGTCGTCACCATGAAAATAACATACTCTTATCTTAACAAATCTTTAAAAGAAAACCCCCGAAAATGCTTGCCGAAGATATTCCTTAGGTGCACCGAAATGAAACCAGGTCTCCAAGCGGAACCCTAGGAGGCGCCGACCCACGGCCTCCCACGCCGCCCGCCCGCCCCCACCTCCCCCACCTCCCCTCCCTCCCCATGCCCGACACACCCGCTGCTTGAGACACCACGCCGGGCCGAACCCTATGAAGCCCGACCCACGGCCTCAACTCCACCGCTGCCCGCCAAGGCGCCGGTGCCGCCACTACTGGCCAGCCGCCCCCG